GATGACTCAAGTTTTTAAGATTCTACTCACTACTTATAAAAGTAGAATGTGGAACATTGTCTTGGTGGACTATGTTATGCTAATTGACCTTGATGTACCCCAAAATTATGTTCCTGAGCCCTAGATGCATTTCCTCAAGGTTTTGGGTTATGAATGTTTTCATAATTTTGCTCACTGTATGCCTTATATAGCCTCAGTTTGTGGGATTAGCCTTAATACTCTAATTTGATTTAATTTTTTAGTCTTTTTTCCTGAAATTCTGTAATTGTTTATTCATTCACGTGTAACTAGAGAAGAACTTTAGAGTATGATATCTTGTTAATCTAGGATGAATTTTGTATTACATTCATTGGTCTTAATGATTATAACTAGGCTAAACATCTTAGAAATCTTCCAGATCAGTAATGCAACCTTTGAGTGAAAATACCCAGGAATAATGTGGGAGCATCACAATGGCCCCAGTGTATAGTCATTTGGATATGTAATTTGGATATCATTTGATTTTCATGACCTTTCAGACTGAGAATCTCAGAGCTAATAGACTAAAAGTGCACTAAAATTGCAGTAAAAAATGCTAAGTTCCCATCCTAAACCAAGTTTTTTTCTAGTTATGCAACCTTGTGTAAATCACAAATCCCTTGGCCTTCTGGACATTACTTATGTAACACTGTGATGTTCTTTTCTTCTCTCCTTTTCAACATAAGGTGATTGTTCCAAGTGCAAGGCTGCTTGCTTATCCACAGGAGGTACAGAATCCAAGGAACAGATGTATCAAATAAGAATTACTCACCTTTAACACCTAGCAACATATCTACCCAAAAGAGTATCAATGCTTACCCCATGTGTTTGAAAACCATGATGAACACACACAACATAAAAAAATTTGAAGGTAAGCCATTTAATGTCATAACCATTAATAAATAAGAAAGAACTTTTCTGTAATGAGTTGATATCATCTCATTAACATTATGCCCCATATTTGGTTAAAAGAGAAAGCAGCCTGCTTATAAAAAAATTTGTATCTTGGGGGTGATAGTTTAACACATTCACTTATAAGCATCCTTAAATTAAACAGAATTAAGTAGCTCCATTAAGACTAAGAACCAAGCACATTAATTCCAATGTTTATTGATCCCAAAGGAGAAAGTAGAACTGTCCCATTGAGTTTTATAATCTGTAAATCTTTATGAGAACAAGATTATCAGGTATTTTCCCTCACTGAGCCACTGGTGAATTCAAGCTGCAAAATCGGGTGCTTCACCATGACACTACCAGTTATTCTTTGTCTTGAACTAAGTAGATGGTATTAGACAATGCATTGAACCTCTTTGCCTCTTTGTTTCCTCTTTTAAGAAATGGGATATAAATAGTGATCTACCTCATATACTTCAGTTGTGTCTTAAATGTGAAAAAGTTTGTCAAAATGCAACTCAAAGTCTGTCATGTAGATAACATCACAGCAATGTTGTGCCTTAAATAGAATAGTCTGCTTTTATTTATCTTTTATCTATTGAGATTTATAGTATTGGGGTATATATTTTTTAAAGTAAACAGATACTGTGTGGCTTTTAATACCTGTGGAAATCCCCCAGAATTAAACTTCTTTGGTATGTTCAAGCATATTAAAGTTACAAATTTACCTTCACATGACAGGCATTCACAAACAGCTCTTACCAATGCGTGCTACCATATTTACAGGCATCTTTGACCCCATTGCTTTGGAAACCATCGTTTGCAATGGATTCAGTGAAATGGGACTTTTGTCTCTATTAATTTCCTGAAGGCATCCTTCCCATCTTTGTTCCTCAGGCTGTAGATGAGGGGGTTCAGCATGGGGTTCACCACAGTATAGAAGACCGAAGCCACTTTGATTGTTTGCTAGGAGTTCTGGGAGTTAGGCACACAGTAGGGGGAAAGAATGGTGCCGTGAAAGATGGTGACGGCAGTCAGATGAGAGGTGCAGGTGGAGAAGGCTTTGCGACGTCCACTGCAGAACGGATTTTCAGCACAGCCACAAAAATAAAAAGGTACGATGTGAGGATGATTCGTAGTGCACTCACTTCATTGAAGGTGGCAAACCCAAAAAGCAGAAGGTGGGGAATGTGCACATCAGAACTAGAGACAGCTATCAGAGCAGTATACTCACAGAAAAAGTGGTTGATTATGTTATATCCAGAGAAGTCTAAATGGAGAGCACAGCAAAGGAGTACCAAGGGACAAAACATCCCACAGGTATGTGCCAGCCACCAGCAGGGCACAGAACCTCTGAGACATGGCCGCTATATAAAGCAGAGGGTTGCAGATAGCCACAAAGCAGTCATCGGCCATGACAGCCAGCAGGAAGGACTCAGTCACCACTGCAGAACAGGCGAGAAAATATTGCAGCATGCAGCTACCATAGAAGATGCTTTTATCACCCACCACCAAGTTTTCAAGCAGCTTCGGAGTAACGATGGAGGAATTACAAAAATCGACAAAAGGAAGGTAACTAAGGAAAAAGTACATGGGTGTGTGAAATTTCGGGTTGATCCGAATGATTATTATCATTCCGTGATTCCCTATGACGGTGACGATGTACATGATCAGGAATACAAGAAAGAGAGGAATCTGAAACCCAGAATAGTCTGTGACGCCTAAGAGGGCAAAGGTCGTCTCCACACTCTGATTTCTCTTAGCCGCCACCACACTTCTTTGGAAGCGAACTGGGTGGGAGGACAGAGTCATCCCTGCCAAAAGAGAATATGCATGGGGGTGAATGAAGTGTGCTATGACTCAGTATGAGAAGTCAAAAGAAAAAGAAGAAACAGTTGTCAAAACTAATGCTCTCCAAGGAGAGGTCTCATTCAGATAGCTTCTATTTACATTGCAAATCTGGCTGATGCCTCATTTAAATAGCTCTTTGAATAACCATTCAAATGCTTCTAATGTTGAAGTATGGAGAAGCTTTATTTGTACATAGGTTGACTGCATGCGTGCATGCACACATTTTCCGAATAGCATAAAAGGCACAAGACTGATACTGAGCACATTTCACTCATGCATACATACATGGGAGAAAAAAAAGCAAACTGCCTCAAAAAACAAAATATACTGTTGCTGTATTTTTCCCACATATTAAAATTAATTAAATATTTAAGGGACTACAACAACAACAAATATTTAAGGGAGAATATATATCTATTCTTAAAGAACCTACAAATATACTAGAGCAATCCCATTAGCTTTGCTTATTCCAAAAGGGCTATTTTTTTCATTTGTTGAATGTCTTAGTTGAATTTTTTCATTTGTTGAATGTCTTAGTGGTAAGAGGTGTAGGTTAAGGAAGGCAAAGGCTTTCTTTTGACCTAAGTAGAGCATGCGCTTTATTCGAGTTTGAGACTTAAGTAAGGCTTGGTTTATGACTTAAGTATTAGCTTCCTTTACAATCCAGGCAGTATATATAACCAAAAATCTCAGCTTCTGTTACATCCCAAGCACATAAAAACAAAACCCACTGCCTTCAAGACAATTCCAACTCATAACAGCCCTATGTAGAAAGACCATAAATGCCGCTTTCCATTCGTTTTCATCAGGAATTAGGTGGTTTAGAGAACAAATCATCAGTTTTACATTCAGTAATTCATTCACATTTTCTCCTTATGTCTTCTGTTCTCATTCTTCTTTCTTTCCTAACCTTCTGGGTTGTATCCTTGGTTAAATGCTCCCTTTTTCAAAAGAAAATGTTAAGTGGCTGATTATTATAACAGAGGGGTGCTTTCTGTTCCAGACCCGCAGGAGCCATAGTCTCGGGGGTCCTATCTGTCTCTTTCCAACCAGTAACCCTTTTAGGATTTTGAACTTTGGTCTACATTTTTCTTCCACTCTATCCATGACCTTGGAATGTGATCTTTTTCAGAGGAGTTGGTCATGGTAGTTGGACACTATCTTGTTCTCATCTCAAGCAGCCTCATCTTTCTTCTGCAGAGTGGATGGTGATCTTAATTACCAATTAGTTACTCAATACCTAACTCACCGTGTCTCCCTTTTGTGTGTGTGTGTGTGAACATATAGACATATATACGAGGCTCTAAGATTTATTAGAGTTATTGAAGAAGCAAGTAGAAAGTTCAGTTTGCATGTGAATTATAACTTGCTGAGTCCATTTTTATAAAAGATCACATACAATTTAAGGTACCTTTAAAGAGAAAATGCATAGATAGCCATCTCTAGTTAGAAAGCTTATTCTATTGTTTATGAAATGGATGGCAATAGATAATTCAGTCAAATATTTACATGGTCATTAATTTATTTCCTTAATAAGATTGGGTTCAGGCTTAGCAGTTACGTTGACTTAAGTTCAAGATAAAAACCAATTATCATATGAGGAAAATAGTATTTTCAGTGTTTCACACACTCATATACAAAAAATATTGTGACTCAACTCACATGCTACAGAGAAACAAGCCACCACCCTCAAGTTTCTCTGTAAACGGTATAACAAGAACACCATGGCTTTTATATCTAACTCTACAGCCTTTGAGGAGACATACTCTGGAGACTCCCTAGCAATTATGCCTCAAACCAATTAATAATGCCAAGACACAGCTTCTTTCTATCATTATTAATGACTGGGATTTCTAGACAACCGTATAGAAAACTTGCCACATGAAATTAACTACCAGACTTTATCTGCACACTACTAAAGGTCTTGCAGAATCGATAAAACTTATTTAAGGCAGAATTCCTCACGTTAAAAATCTCTGCTACGTCTATCATAGAACTGCCCAAATTCTTGGTTAAGATGATTCCTAGACCCAAATAAAACTTCTGAGATGGGAATTCCTCAGGATGGGGCCCAGTTGTGTTCACATTACAAAGGTATTTTAGTGACATCTGCAAACATTGAAGTGATAGAACCACAGCCAAGTGCTAAAACAACCTTGCTTTCCCAAGTTGGCAAATGTTTGTTTGTGTGTGTGAATTATTTAAAGAGGCTCTTCTAGCCAAAACATATTATCAGTGATATCATGTTAAACGTCTTGTGCAATAATACAATTTCATAATGTTTTGGGAAAAGGGAATAATAAGGTAAGAGCTAAGATATAATGCCTTCAAGTTCTTATTAATAATTCTCTCATATATACATCCCTGATTACCTACGATTATGTTCAGATTTACTTTAGACCTCTGACATTCCCACTACTTCAATAGGATTGAATTTTGTTGTTGTTTCCACAAGGTTGGTGAATATTGGTTGCACCATGGACTTTTCAAAAATGCACAAATCTATATTAAAGAAATACAGATGCTTAAGATGGCAAGATTTTGCACAAGTATTTTGGACATCTGATCAGGATGGATGAGTTCCTAGAGAAGGAACTGCTTCTAAAAGCAGAGAGTCATCAAAAGATCATGTAGTAGTCACCTAACTTGGTGTCAATTTAAGGATTAAGAGTGTAGGGGTGGAGTCCTGGCTGTCAATCTGGAGATAGCCAATGAGACTTCTGTGGGCATGGCCTTCTCCTAAGAATTCTGAGAAATCTGGTACTTCCTCCTTGGAGGTGAAAGACACCTCTCTCTCTGTGCTACTCCCTGGGAGACATTGCAGAAGACAAGCCACATGGACACAACCAGACCTCAGAAGCCAGAGAAGCCACAGAGAGACCCCTGCCAGCGCTGAGATGTTTCCAGTGACACCTGGATCCAAAGACTTTATACCCACTGGCCTGTGATCTTCTGCATTCTGCATCACTGCATGTGTTTTGTGTGTCTGAAGAGGACTTTATAGATTGATATTGGAAATATGGGCTAATCAGACTTATTGACTTGATCTGGACTGGACTGGGATGTTTTCTCAATGTTCAATTGCTCTTGTATATAAATCTCTTTCTTATACACATATGTGTGTCTATGAATTTGTTTCTCTAGTCTACCCAGACTAACATAGAGACCCTCAAGGAGATGCGTTGACACAGTGGCTGTACCAACGGACTCATGCTTGTAATGATTGGAAGCATGGTGCCTGCCTGTGTGGTAACTAGGTTTTATGTATACTTGGCTGAGCTAGGATTCTCTCACTATATTACCTAACAGATTGTTGAAAACTTTGTGTTAACATGGTGGGATCTTCTGTGAAGTAGCCAAGCAGTTTGGGGAAGAATAAGGTAGTGTAACATCTCCTTAATCTGCTCACACCCCTGATATAATTGAGGAAGGCTTCATTTGGGGTATGACATACTCTTAGTATAAATTGGTCCTGTGCCCAAGTAGCCCAATTCTTCTGCTGAATCTGGATACTGCATCTGATTTGTGGACCCCCTACTATATCCCCTGTAGATCCCAAGCAGTCAATGAATTTTCAATCTCAGATTCATTCAAGTCTGCATCCGTCAGCCTGTGACCTTCCTGTTCCAACATCCTACTTCCTATTTGTCAGCCACAGCAGCTACCTGAGTCAGGAGAAGCCTCCAGCTTAAGTTTTGTGTGAGAAGTAAACTGAGGCACAGGGAGACAGACAAAGATAGCTGAAAGGACAAAGGGGGAACAGAAACAGAAATAGCTTTATTGGGGGGTGGGAGGCCGGGCCCCGGCCAAAGCCCCATGGTCTAGCAAGTAGCCCAGGGGAATTACGTACGGGCTTTGTCCGGTGTCCAGAGTTTTTAAAGGAAAGTGGGGAAAGGGGGTTCTGTGTTGCAGCAGCAGCAAGGTTTATGTCCCAGGATGTAGTTGATCAGCTCTGGGAGGCAGGCAGACTGGTTCTTAGGGAGTCAGGCATTCCAGGCTTTGTTCTTCAGTCTCTTCATTTCAGGGGGGCAGCTGCTGACCTCCTGAGACAGGCAGAGAAGCAGGGGCACTAACCTGCTTCAGCTCAGTCTAATCATCATGGTCTCATATGTACGTATTATATTGAAACTAAACTAAAATTCCAGTCACTAGCAGCGGTAGCCAATCACAGAGATTGGGTGAGAAAGAGAATATGGTCCATTGACAGATCTGGAAGAACAGTGAGATCTTTCACAAAAAGACCGACTTGCTTCCCACACAGAGTTGCGGCTTTTACCCTTCAATGGGTGTGAACACATTTGTGTATTTGCATTCTTTTCTCAAATTTAATGGCCTTTCCAGTTAGGAATACAATTCATACTTCTTTGAGTGTCAGTACATTTGGTTTATTGAATACTTTTCTCAAGATGTCTGGCTTTTCCATATGAGAATATAATCTATATTTCACTGAATCACAGGAGTTGCTCTCTGGGACATGACTCCTCTCAACACCTTCAAAAATATTAATGTTTTTAAAGGAAACATCTGTACAAAGTTATATTTTTCCCTTTACCATCACAGCCTTCTGGTTTTCCTTTTGATTCTTCATCTTAAATTTAAGTTAACAATGCAATATTAAATTATTTACAGCATTGACTAATTGAGCCTATAGGCCAGGGCCCTTACCAGAGTAGAAGGGGCGGGGAGATTAGTTAGAATAGAAATGGGGAGGTTAGTCGAAGCTGCAGTTGCTTGGAAAAACAATCAAAACAAAAAATGTGAGTAAATAAATCAAGCTTAATGAGGATTCACTAAAAGTTTCTCATTATGAGTTTCTTAGGTCTGCTGAGAAATTACTACAAGCTTGGAGCTTACCAAAATGGAAACTTTCCTATGTTTCTGATGAAAAATGCTTTAAATAAATGGTTTGGCAGGAACATACACCAGCCAAAGACCCCATAGGAAAATCCGTTTTTCTGTTG